AGTAAGGCCACAGGTAGACGATGAATGGTCTCTCCCAGAGGAAATAAAAGGAGTGAAAGGGGAGTGGAGTTTGCAAGAGACAATTAGTTCGCTTAATTGGTTCATGACTCTCCGAGACTCCTTGCCAAGTATTGCAGATATCGGCCTGTCAGCTCTCCAAGCCAGATAAGGTCTGTGACTATAAATCTTCTCTTGAAAGACTTCGCTGGATGTGAATGAGCAGAATTCACAGTAAAATAATAAAAGGGGTTTTTGTTGGGACAAGGAATTTGCTTCATGCTCTCGGGAAGCCTAGGTCAGAACAAAGGCAGCCTCTCAAGCCCATTAAAAGTAACCTTTCATTAAAAAAAAATTTCAATAAAGGTAGAAAAGGCTATATTATCGTTAAGTATAAATCCTATTTCACAAACTGAACTGAGTTCAATTAAGAATAAGTTAAAATTAAGCCAAAGAAAATTTCCTTAGTCATCACTCAATCACTTCTTCGTGCTGGCCCTCTACAATGCCATTTGTGGAAATGGAAATGTGCATGCGCCTGCCAATGGCTTGCGTGAACCTCACCCTCCCACAAGTCTGCAAAGCCAGAAGCGTTGGGGAACCCTTAAACAGTCCATTGTGCTAGCAAAGAAGTTCTAAATGCTGACTACCAATTATTAAAGCTTTCACAAGAACAATATAAAAGTAACTCTCTTCATGTACAAAGGAATTTTACCAACAAGCCCTCAAAACTCTGGTTTAACATGTACCATTGTTAAAGGCCATACAAGCAGACCAATTGCTGAGCACCCAAAATGCAATCATGCCACTGCAGAGGGCTGGGACTGGGGGAGCGGCATCAGAACTCCAAACCCAGCTTATAGCCAAATCTTGGCTTATGATGGATTTGTTAGGAAAAGGACAAGTCAACGACCACAGCTCATAGGTACACTAAGCGATGAACTTGGGTTTCTTGGACTTCTCACTTTATCAGGGACTGTCAACAGGAGCACATGAGAAGCATCATCAGTATGAATGTTGAATATGATCTCTTCCTCTTGCCCCCCCCCCAACCCCTTGATTCAAAATATTTTGGATTATTGCTAGAAGCAAATGGAATCATGTTCCATTTGGACAATGGAAAGAAATGAAAAAGCAAAAAATCTTATTGGCAGAGGAAAAGAAAACATTTTATTAAATATCTTTGAAGTTGACAAAACCCAAGAGAAAGTTGTCACATCAAGTGCTCCATAAGCAGAAAACTTTAAACATTTCTGGACTGAAAACATCTTAAATAAGTGCTAACTTATTAGTGCTAACACTGGTCACTTAAAACATTTAGGGTGGCAAAGAAAGAATAAACCATGCCATTCAATTAAACCCATTGCCTTCCTCTCCTGTCGAGAGAGGAATCCATGGGACAAGGGGGCAAGCGATCCAAGGGCCCACCTACCGAATCCTTCCCAAGTATCTCAGATAAGCAGATGTTGACATTTGATGGTGTTAGAGGTATCATCACAAGTCGTAAGCTGTCCTAAGTAAAGCTGCCTTTTGTAATTGACTGGTGATGTTTTTGTTAGCGCTGATAGTATTCAAGTGATAATTTCTTTCAGTTATGATTATTTTAGGTAAAATATAAATATATAAATTCTACAACATTTTATGTAATAAATGTTTAAGTGAAAACATATAAAAATAATAATAATTTATTTCATTTTTACACTGGGAGGATGCAGTTTTAATAATGGACAGACTTTGCTGGCCTCTAGTGGAAGAACACAAAATAGATTGAAGTTGTTTTCCCCAATTGTGAGCTGTAATTCTTAGTGGGAGCACCAGTTCTCCAGGTGATGGGATACAAGAGGGAGAAGCAACTAGAAACTCTTGTGTGGTCAGCTAACAATTACTGTGAAGTTGACCCTCTCACCCCCACCCCTTTTTTAAAACCAAGCCTGCATTGTTTTCCAGCCAAGCAGGGACTGTCCAGTCCATAGCAGATCAATTGGCAAGGCCCACAGCCATTGGAATTGATTTCAATGTACAAAAGACCACAATGCAGACCTGCTCCTTATTATTCTGCCCTATTTCCCTGAAAATAAGCCCTCCCGGGATAATAAGCCCAATCGGGCTTTTGAGCGCATGCGCCAAAATAAGTCCTCCCCAAAAATATTGAAACACAGTAGCAGTCATGAGGTGACCACGCTTGCTGCCTTCTGCATCTCAAAAATAATAAGACCTCCCCAAAATTAAAGCCAAGTGCTTATTTTGGGAGTAAAATAATAATAATACCCTGTCTTATTTTTGGGGAAACGTGATATAAGGAAGGGAGCTGCTATAGACAATTCAGAAAACAAATCGAAAAATTCCTTCTGAATTATATTCAAAATAACTCTCTCCTAATGATTTATTTTTTAACAGCTCCCCACTTGGGAATATGTGTGTGTGTGTGTGTGTGTGTGTGTGTGTTGTACTTGTGCTGATAAATAAATGTAACAATGTAAACACAAATGTAACAAAGGCAACAGTAAAAATATTGGGTTTCTGTCTGGATGGTCTCTTGTGACGAGCCGATAGACAGAGAATGGAAGTAGTAGACTTCCTCCCATCCTCCCATATTTGGGCATGCCAGGGGTTGTGACACTAAATACATACATATATATATATGTGTATATATATGTGTGTATATATATGTGTGTGTGTGTGTGTGTGTGTGTGTGTGTGTGTGTGTGTGTTGTACTTGTGCTGATAAATAAATGTAACAATGTAAA